CAGGCATCAATGTATACGGCAACACTCGTAAATCTCTGAAATCCTGATACCAAAGGCTTTGGATAAATAGCGTCAAGTGGGATTGCAGGAGTGTACAACAGACAAAAAAAAAAAATAAAATCACAATTCACAATTCATTATAAATTGTCACTGGTAATTAGTGGACAACCTCCCGGTATTTCATTAAATTTTCAAATACTTTAGGGATGATCAACAAATTGGTTGGCATCTCCTCAGGGAGAGTCTCAAAAGGTGAAAAAAAATCCATAAATTGTCCTCAAAAATGCCATGTTAAGAAACACCTTGGGAGAGTGAAGAAATACACCACGGGAGAGTCAACAGTGAGGTTTCACTGCAGATAACCAAGGCGGCGTCATGCAATGCGTATGTATTTGCAATGTTTCAGTGACATATGAAAATTTTCACTTATATTAGATGTCAGAGTTATGACAAAATGTATTCTTTTCCACTCTAAGTGTGTGCCTTCTGCTTCCCAATAAGGCCTGGCCGTATTAGGACCTCTCTCCTTTTTGCTTCGCATGAATTTTCTTCACATACATTTTCACATGAGAGGTTAAGCATTCATGAGAATCCTTTAAACTCATACACTGTGAGTTCAGAAATTAAAAAAACATTTATTACAAATAATTATATATTGAGCACACATCAAGTGATAAAAGGCAAAGGGACATGGGTTCTCCCAGGGGCAGAATTTGGAACTGCAGAGGTGCGTCCTCTTATTTTGATGGCCTTCCACCTACACAGTTGTTAGTACCTCGAGACTCGTTTTGTTTTTGCTCAAAAATGAATTATTATTAGTCACTATTTATTTATTATATATATTTATTCCTAAATATGACTCATTTCTGATCGTTTTTTGGGGAAAGGAATTTTCTATTTCATATTCCCGCATGAAAAGCATTGTTTGCTAATTAATAGAGAACTTCCACTTTGACTACGACCTTGTCTAAATATGATCAGAGTCGGTGAACTCAAAAGGCTTCCATAGCCTTGGCAACTCATGAAAAGAGCCTAGGGTGATTATTGATGCCATAAACAAGACTGTCAAATTGTTAATTAATAAATTTTAACTACACCGTTTTATTGGTCATGGAAAAACCTTCTTCATTTTGCAGTGGGATTTGACAAAAAAAATAGATGGAATATTTCTCAACAAGAATGTTTTTTAAAATAAAATATTAGAAATCTGCAAAGGTAGTACATTACGAAAATCAATTTGTCTTTTTAAACCTTGAACTACAGCACTGGTGGGATAATACGTTCCTTACCTTTTATGGAAATTGGCCCTTACCATGGGAACTTTATTTCTCAGTCTTTAACAAAGGCAAGCCAAGTCAAATCAAAACAAAACAAAAAGCTTTTCACTGTTTCTTATTGTATTTAGTACAGCTGTTTCTCTAATGTTATAATCAGATACATTTTTCTGTATTTCTTTTTTTAAAAACAGTTTTATTTATTTATTTTGAAAGAGTTACAGAGACAGAAGGAGAGATAGAGGTCTTGCATCTGCTGATAATTCACATGGCCACAACTGCCCAGCTGGGCCTGGAGCTGCTTGCCTGTCTCCCACAGGGGTATTTGGAGCCCAAACACTTAGGCCGTCCTCTGCTGCTATTCCCAGGCCGTTAGCACAAGCTGGATCAGAAGCAGAGCAGCTGGGACATAAAGCAGTGTCCATATGGGAAGTCGCCACAGTAGATGGTAGTATTACCTGTTATGAAACAATTTGGCCCCCCATTTTTCCATATTTCTACTAAAACAAATGTGTTTACATAGGAGCCTGAGAGACTATCTGGTAACGATAACCTTATGCATGGTATTAACAAAATTACATGCAAATTATATGTAATCACCTATACAAATACAATGCTGTAAACTTATGTGTTTTTATTTTCTTATAGCTTATTCAGAGACCATTTACCTCCATGATTTCATTGTACAGAGTACAGTTTTTCTCTAAATCATGCATAAATCATTATTTCTCAAATTTTTTACATGAATAATAATTATCTTATGTATTATGCCACATATATGCTATTAGAATATACTTCTTAATCTTCAAGTTATTCTAGATACTCAGCTATACCTTTGCTTGTTACACATAATTATCTGCATTGTGTGTCATATCTCTTGGAGGGTTCTTTACTATTTTTAATCTTTGAGATAAATTATTTTTAATTTCCATCATTGTCAAAGGCTTAATGTTACACTAAATAAAATTCAACAAATAAGAAGTAAAAAGAACATAGCTCAGTAGGAATCTAGGCAGGGGTTATAACGAATAATGAAATGAAAAGATGTCTATTTCACTCGTATATGGTGAAATTTAAATAGTCACAGGATATTTGAATTTTTAGGATCTTAATGTGCAAAAGGATTTTAATCTCATTCAAGAATCCAGGTATAAGTTCATCTTTAGTGCATTTTATCTAGTCCCCAAAATACTATTGTGTAACAAACTGAAAATTTTATTCAACATAAAATTTTATAAAATTTATTACGAAAGGTCAAAACAAATTTTTCCCTTTAAAAATATAGTATTCCTGGGGCTGGCGCAGTGGCTCATTTGGCTAATCCTCCACCTGTGGCGCTGGCATCCCATATGGGTGCCTTATTCTAGTCCTGGCTGCTTCTCTTCCAGTCCAGCTCTCTGCTGTGGCCTGGGAGGTCAGTGGAGGATGGCCCAAGCGCTTGGGCCCCTGCACCCCCATGGGAGATCAAGAGAAAGCACCTGGCTCCTGGCTTTGGATTGGTGCAGCCCCAGCCGTGGTGGCCATTTGGGGAGTGAACCAATGGAAGGAAGACCTTTCTCTTTGTCTCTTTCTCTCACTGTCTATAACTCTACCTGTCAAAATAGAAAAAAAATTCCTTATCAAAAGGAAAATTTTTATGAGTGTTCAATGTATAAAGCAAATTAGAAAGACATGTCTCATAATTTGTCTTTTTTTTCCATACTCCCCAGGTTCCCACATGATAAAGTACATCTGATTTGGTTTTTTTGTTTGTTTGTTTGTTTGTTTGTTTTTGTTTTTGACAGGCAGAGTGGACAGTGAGAGAGACAGAGAGAAAGGTCTTCCTTTGCCGTTGGTTCACCCTCCAATGGCCGCCCTGGCAGGCGCACTGCAGCCGGCGCACTGCTCTGATCGGAAGCCAGGAGCCAGGTGCTTCCTCTTGGTCTCCCATAGGGTGCAGGGCCCAAGCACTTGGGCCATCCTCCACTGCACTCCCGGGCCACAGCAGAGAGCTGGCCTGGAAGAGGGGCAACGGGGACAGAATCCGGTGCACTGACCGGGACTAGAACCCGGTGTGCCGACGCCGCAAGGCAGAGGAGTAGCCTATTGAGTTCGACGCCGGCTATGATTTGTTATAGACAACTAAATATATCTCAGTTATGATAAAAATCTTCCTAAGGAAGATGGATATTTCAGTGAATTTATATCAAGTTAACCTATATTAAGATACTTACAGAAATAGAAATAGAAGTAATACAAAACAACACCATGTTGTCCAATTTTATTCATGGGTAGGAGGCTAAGGTAGGAATTGAGATGAATTTCATGTGTTCTTTCTTACTTGATCTTTCACCTATTCATCATTACAGATTTGGGAAAAAAGTTAAGTCACATATGAGAAGAATGTACATGTTTATTTGTGAAGAAAATACCTTTCTGGTAAGCTACTATCACCCTAAATAAAAAAACACAAAAATAAAATACTGTTCACATAATATTTGAGACTATTTCCAGTAAATGGACATGGAAGATAATTTAATCATCAATTATCTTTCCCAACAACCCTGCAAGGAAATGTTGGTTTTATATATGAGAATACATATATATATATATATATACACACACACATATATATATATAGTTTGTCCAATGTCATCTATGTGTATACCATAACTTAAAGTGCTGTAGGGATTCTACCTATCTACGTACCCATGTATATACATACATATTCTGGCACATTTTCTTATATAAAGACTATCCCCAATGTGATTTACAGACTTCTTTCTCATGCAACTATCCAATCTCTATCAAGAGTTGATTTTGACTGTCCATCTGTAGACATAAGGATTTTATAGGAATACATTTGATGTCAGGAATACAATGCATTTTTCAAATTTTATTAATTTTATATATGTAACTGGTATATACATAATGGAATTATATTACATATAATTAATAGATTCATTATAATTAAAATTATATAAATAGTAAATAAAAACTTAAATGATACTGCAACAATTGTCCATTTATTGAACACCCAAAGCTTTAACAATATTAAAATGAACAATATTTAGAATTTTTTTCATTTTGGCTTTATATATAAAGGATTATCTAAAAGTTCATGGAAATTGGAATTCAAAGGTAACAGTTTTGAATTCTATGCATAATAGTTTGTCATAGCACATTTGCATACATTTTGAAAACCACTTATATGCATGTATTTCAATGTTTTTGCTCCTAAATAAATATTTTAATTCCTCTTTACCCAAACTTTATGAACTAAGTTTGCATTCATATTTATATATATATCTGCATTCTTATCTATGTCTACCAGTCTTTCTATATGAGTTTCTCAATCTTTTCACGACTGGTGGTTTTGGCTGAATACTGTTGTCATCTATACACTGCATAATTAAAATGTATATGAGCATAATTGCCATCTAACTATTGGACACCAGCAGCAACTCAGATCCCAGTTATGATTACCAAAATACCTCTTTGACAATGGATAATATTACTTTTGTAATATGACCCCAACTGAAAACCACTCATATATCTATGTTGTTTTATCTACTTACATACATTTTTAATGTAGAGATGGGCTAATTTTCAAATATTCAGAATTGGGAGTTGAGATGTATTTTATTTTCACTAGTTTTTCATGATAAATATCAACCAGATGAAAATTCTAAAATCTACTGACTATACTGATGCCATTATCCAGAATAGGTTTTCTGATCAACCTGCATGGAAAGACACAACATCACAGTGGTGAAGGAATTCATTCTGATGGGAATCACAGATCGCCCGGAGCTGCAGGCTCCACTATTTGTGTTGTTCCTCATCATTTATCTGATCTCAGCAGTGGGCAACCTGGGCATGATCATCCTCACCAAGACAGACAACAAGCTGCACACTCCCATGTACTTTTTTCTCAGACACCTGGCTATTACAGATCTTGGTTATTCTACAGCTGTGGGACCCAAAATGTTAGTTAACTTTGTTGTGGATCAGAATACAATATCCTATTATTTTTGTGCTACACAGCTTTCTTTTTTTCTCGTATTCATTATTAGTGAGCTTTTTATTCTGTCAGCAATGTCCTATGACCGCTATGTGGCCATTTGTAAACCTTTGCTCTACACAGTCATTATGTCACAAAGGGTATGTTGGGTGCTGGTGGCAATTCCCTATCTTTATTGTACATTTGTGTCTCTTCTTGTCACCACAAAGATTTTTACTTTAACTTTCTGTGGCTACAATGTAATCAGTCATTTCTATTGTGATAGTCTCCCTTTGTTATCTTTGGTCTGCTCAAATACACATGAAATTGAAATGATAATTCTGATCTTAGCAGCTTTCAATTTAGTTTCATCTCTTCTAATAGTTCTTATCTCTTACTTGCTTATACTTATTGCTATTCTCAGGATGAACTCTGCTGAGGGCAGATACAAGGCTTTCTCCACCTGTGGATCACACCTGACAGTGGTCACAGTGTTCTATGGGACTTTGATATTTATGTATGTGCAGCCCAAGTCCAGTCATTCTTTTGATACTGATAAAGTAGCATCTATATTTTATACCCTGATTATCCCCATGTTGAATCCCTTGATCTATAGCTTGAGGAACAAGGATGTAAAATATGCCCTGCAAAGGACATTGAATAAAATATGGGATATTGTTTACTAAAGTTCACAATGATTATAAGTCTTACAATTAGATCTGGGTGTGAATTTTCTGTTTTCCTCTATAGCGTATTGCACATATAGACTCGACATATATTTATTCATGTTCTCAATACTATTCATACTTCTAAATACTGTAAATGCATTAGTGAAAAAACAATAAAATATTTTGTTTTCCTTGACACAAAGAGATGAATTACAAAAGCAAGAATTGAGAATATTTTATAGCACAGTAGTCCGTGTTTAGGGACCATAGACTAAGAACAAACAAGGAGACTGAGTGTTCTGTATGTGAACATACCCCCGGCCTCAACTGGACTGCACGCTCAGCTCTCTGCCTCTCTGCTGAGCTGTCCACCTGGTCTGGCCAGGTGTACTCCACTCAACCATGTAACCTCACTCCTTCCCCCCCCACCCCTCAGTCCAAGCAACTGCACTCTTTCCCAGGTCCTGTCTGGAGAGGTGCCCATCCATCCTTATGGATGTCCCTTCCCTAATAAACCTTGCTATTTTACCTCCCACTACTCTCTGTCTCACGCCTGAATTCTTTCTTGCGCGAAGACAAGAACCCTGCAATTTCTCCGTTAATACAAGGACAGCACAGTAGAGATTGCTAAACAAAGTAACTCCCTGTCAGCCCCCGCTGTAACTCCTTGCGCCCAAAGCTTCCAGGCTGTATGTAACTCTTTTTTCCTGCTGATGTAGCCCTTTTTCCTTTAAAAACTCTCCCAAAGACCGGGGCCTCACTCCTTCCTCCGCTGTGCTGGTTGGTTGGATGGGGTCTTTGTCGTGGCTTGTATGCCCAAATAAACCTTGCTATTGCAGTTCGGTGTGATCAACTCTCTGGGGGTCTCTGTGGGGATCTAACAATCTGGGCACAACATAATTTGGGGGCTCGTCTGGGATTGTGATCCCCAACAGCCCCCCCAGCGACCTTGACTGGGTGAGTTCGTTAGTCTATTTGTTCATTGTTTAATTGTGTCTAAATCTGAATCTGTAGCATCAGCTGTTGCATCTGTATTCTGAATCTGTGGAGGGTCACTTCCTGAGTGGACACGCTCACAGGGCACACCCCGGAGGAAATGGGAGACGTCCTGATTCCTCGTCTGGGACCTGGGAAGGTCCAATCTGTATCTGGGTACCTGGGTAGGTCCAATCTGTATCTAGGGATGAAGAGAAGAGGGACTGCTGCAGAGTTCTGGTCCCACCTGTAAGGTCTTTGGTCTCCTTCATACTCCCGGAGGTTTGCCCACAGAGCAGTAGAGATCTTCTGTAATATAACCATCTGAATCTGTCCGCGGAAATTCTGTACGGGTGCCGTGTTTGTCTTTTTGTTAAGTGGTGTTTGTGTTATTTCTGTTGACAACTGACTTAACTAGACAGAACATGGGGGCAACTCCACTGGATCTAACTCTTGCACAGTGGAAAAAAAAATGTAAAAAAAGTGACTCATAATAATGTAGGTTAAGGGCTGGGTTGGTCGGGCTGGAGCATGAAGCGGAGTTCGGTGCGCGCCGCAGCTGGACAAGGTGCTACCCCAATCCCCCAGTCCCCCCCCCCCCCGGGAGCAGGAGGCGGGGACTCTGGATGCGAGCTGGGCCCTTCCCATGGATCGCCCCAGCTGCAACAGGAGTTGTGGCTGCCTTCGGGGAGCCTGGCAGGCGCTGCATGTGCAGCGCTCCCAGGGTCGGGGTGCGAGGAGGAGACCCCTTGCCTTTTCCCACGGTGCCTTGCAGGCGCATGCCCCCCCTCCCCCCTGCCAGGCCCGTCCCGTGGCCGGTCCCGCGAAGCGGCTCGCCTTGGCCGGCGCCCAGCAGCTGACTTAGAACTGGTGCAGACCAGGGGAATCCAACTGTTAAAGCATGATGAGGGCCCGTGGCTTGTGTTAACGTGATGTAATTTCTGCCCAGTGCTCTAAATGTCAAAGTAAGGAAATTCAATGAAGCGCGGAAAGCCAGCGGGAGCCCTTGGGGGCCAATGGTGGCATCCAGTGAGTTCTTGCTGGACCTTAAAAATCCGGGAAAGAGGGTGTAAATCTCACTCCCAGCCTTACCCATATCTGCAACAGGTCTCCAAGGTAAACAGCCTCTGGCATGTTGGACCAATGTAAATGTTAAAAAGGACAATTACAATTGGGTTAATTTCTGTAAAGGAGTGACTCCATGTCTATCCCTAGGCTCTGTTGGCGGGTCTCAAAGTGGCTGTGCGCAAGATTGGCGCAAAATTCGAATTTGGCCTTAGAGACTGGCGTGGACTGGGTAGCTCTCCTCCCCTTACCTTATCTCAGAATTTGAACTTTATCTTAAAATCAGGTCTGGTCCAAAGTCTACTCTCCCTGTCTTATCACTGAAACAAATCGGGTATCCCACCCTTCTGATGGCTCTTCTGTTTTATCTCGTGCAAGCCAGAAGATAGTGCTTTGTAACTTGCTGAACTTATTTTGCAATTTGTTTTAAAAAATTTCTGGGTGGTCAGTACTCAATAAAACAGTAATAGGTAATTAACACTTGTTTTAGGTAAATACAATTTTATTTTATTAAATTCAGATATATATATATATATTATCAGCATCTTAAGTCATAGTTCAACATCACTTAAAAGTAATTAATGCTAAAATTTGATGTGTTACTGTGGGGAATCCCACAGGAATCTCAGAAAGAGTCACGGATCACCTCTTACCTGAAAAGGAGATGAACTGTGGAAACACAATAAAACATTGAGTTAAGAAGTTACCACTAGCCACAAAATAAAAGTAAAGTGGAGTTATAAGTCAGGAGCTGAGGCAATGCCTAACGGCTGTTAGGGAGACGCTCCTAATCATACCAAGCAGACATCTCTGGTCCGTCTGATAACGGTGCACTGCGGGCAATACCCTCCTACCCACGCTGACTGGACCATTCAAACACAAGTAAGGCGGGAGCAGTATTGACTGGGCCATTCAAACATAAGTAAAAACCAATAAAATTACACAAGTTGTATGATGGCAAATTGGAGGATTGCCAAAAAATGAGAATAAAAGAGGAGCCCTGGTGCTGCTCTCCATCCTTTTGGGGATCATGGCCTGGTGCGCGTAAACCACTGGGAGCAAAAGAAAGAAGCGCGGAGCTGAGCCGAGCTGTCCCTGAGCTGTCCCTGAAGAGATCCTGACCCGTTCCTGACTTGTTCCAGCCACAGCTCTTGGAGCTGTACCTGTTCCTGAGCGACCTTAGCCGCCGTTCCTAAGCGGCTTTAGCTGCATGAGCTGTCACCTTCTGGTCTCGTTCCTGTCTAATAAAAGTTGCTGTAACACTTTCGGCCTTGCAGCCGAGTAAGGGGCCCCGTGTGTGTGAACCTCTGGATCTCCACACAGCCGGAGCTGAAGTGGCAGCCTGCTACTCTGCGTGGAGTAGGTAGCAGCTCAAGCCAACCTGCAGAGCTGTCCCTGAGCTGTAAGACCCCACTGTGTGTGTGTACGTGTGTGTGTGGCCCAGTGTGAGTGAACCTCTGGATCTCCTCACATTTGGAGACGAAGAGCCAGCCTGCTAGCTTTTGCTATGCGGCACAAGGTGACAACGGGATCAAGAGGTCATCTGGAACTGCTGCGGTGCTGCCCGGCCATTGATGACCAGCGGAGCTGCTGTCTCACCACCTCGCCTGGAGTCCTTATCAGCCCACTGCCAGAGTTGACCACAGAGCCAGACCAGGCCTCTCAGCAGGGGACCTCTCCAACTTCTCGCCTGTTTGTCCACCTAGAACCTTGAGCCTACTGCCCAGAGAGACAACCTTCCCACAACTTCCTTCCTGTAAGTGATTGGTCCGAGTTCCGTACCTGCTGGGACACTGAACTCTGGACACTGGACACTCCCCGCAGGAGAAACACATTTGTGACAGTTTTGCAAGCCTAGATACGTAGCAAACCAATGTTATGTATTGACTCTTTTGCTGTGCATGTATTGTCCATGGTGATAGTACTTAAGATTATTTTAATAGTGTTTGTTGTGACTTGTGGTATAATAATATTGATTGCCTGGCAGATAAGTGATATTGTTAAGATTGGGTAGATGTATTAAGTTAAGTAGTTAAGTAGTTATGTGGTTAAGTCAAGTAGTTAAATGATTAAGTGATTGAGTAGTTAAATAGTTAAGTCACATTAAATAATAGTGTTAAGTTTAGTGATAAGTGTGTTAAATAGGATAGATTGATGAGTATATTGGTACTGATAAGCGTATTGACATCAATGAGCATTCTGATGAGTAATGTGATATAAAACCCCTGGTGTGTCACTGGTATGTGAATAATAAAATTGGAAAAGACAGTCTTGTGTTCGTGTGTTCCTTTCTTCCCCGTGACTGACAAGTCGTACGTTGCACTTGCTACTGTTGAGCTACGTGACAGTAGGCGCTTGCGACAGTTACCTTGTTTAAAAATGTTGTCTGGACAGATAAAAAGACATCACAAGTATAAAAATAAAATGTTTCAAGTAAGTTTAAAAGGGTGTGTAAAAGTCACGAAAAGTTATAAAAAATTTTGGACACAAAAGCTATTACTGATTCTCTGTTAAAGCAATAAGTTAAAGTAATCTATTATGTTCTCTTAATGTCTCTGTTAAATTCTAATTGTTTAAAAACAACTGAGTTTTTATTAGGAGCTATGGGTTATTTAAATATGTGCTTATTTTCAAACCTTTAAATAATTACCCTGTAACAATGATCAAATTTGGTCTGTATTATGTCATAATATAAAATGGTATTAATACAAATGTCTGAAAATTATAAAGTCTGGTAATCTAGTATTACTAAACATAATGGTCATCTTGGTAAAGGGGTCCCAGAGGCCTAAAAAAGTTAAGTGTGCCCTGTAAAATCCTACAGGTGTTTTCAAAATACTATGTAAAGTAAACATAAGTGTCTCTTCTTGGTTAACGAGTTTGTAATTTTAAATATAACAACTTAAGGTCTTTTGTCATCCACAGTTTTGTATATCAGATTTACTACTCATAAAACTAAAGCGTTGTTGGTTCTGTGT